ACTGTGGAAGGTTGCGTGGTTCCTAATGGATAGGCCGTGGGCGGAATTCATAAGTGATTTGGTAATGCATGACAAGATTGTGGTAAGTTTATACCTAGTTATATTATTTCAGACAATGGAATCGGACTTCCAAGTGTGTAAGTGACACTATTCGAGTAAACACCTAAGGGATTTGATATCTTAGTTTATTGTTGACCTAGTAGGGTGCTTCGGGCATAAAAGCAATCAGGGTGATTTCGGTAGGATGAAATGTCACTTATATTGCTCTGTTGTTAAGGGAATCTTCAAGGTGAATGCGTGACGATATATTAGACGATAGATATGCATTGATATCTTTCATGTGTTGCTAAATTTCATGATTGTTGCTATGATGAAGTATATGGTGTTTGACTTCATGATTTTAAAATTCGCAAAAATATATTATTCACGAAGGTATTACCTGTAGATAAAATTTTGCAGAAAAATTTGTAGGAACAACATTTCCTGCAAAATTTTGTGAAAAATTCGCAGGAAAAGTCGCATGTAATAAAAGAAATTCTAGTAGTGATTAAGAAGTTTGCTTGGAACGAACTGAAGTTGTTACCTTTTAATTTTGTTTGTTTATTTATTTTTATTTATTTTAAAATTTCTCATAATTAATAATTAATATAATTGATGTTTTATTTTATAAAGTTATTACAATATCAATTTCCTATAATTAATGCTTCTTTTTTTTTAGAAATATCGGAGAGAAATAATGCTTCTGAATTTTTTACGCCATAACTTATAAGATTAATTTTTATAGTACATTTTTTTATTATTTATATCTATATCAAAATTTTCCGCCATAACTTATAAGATTAATTTTTTACTATGTTATTACATTTTCAATTTTTTATAATTTAATTATTTTACGTAAATTTTCATTATAATTTTCTATACGTGAAATATTTTTATTTGAATTTTATGAAATAAGAATTATCTTAATATTTCTTATTTATATTACATAACTAAAAAATATGTGAATTTTTGTCACAATTTACTGTATTTGATCTATATTCTTTAAGGAAATTTCGTGAAAACATTTTAACGTAATTTTATTATTTATATTTATTTTAAAATTATTTATAATTAATAATTAATATTTTATTATATCATTATAGTTTTAATTTGCTATACTTAATATTTGTTTTAGAAAATCTTGTGGAAATAAAACTCACATACATATGTTATAGAAGAAAAGTAAAAGAAATTATTGCATGAAAAATTTATGACAAAATTATTTGCTTTATTATAAGCGTTATAATTTTCTATAGTGAAATATTTTGAATTTTATGAAATAAATTTTAGCATATTTTAAAATTGTTTATAATTAATAATTAATATTTTATTATGTCAGATTCAAATCGCTATAATTAATTTTTTTAGGGGACTCCCGAGAAAATAATATTATAAAAAAATTATTGTATGCAGATATTATAAAATAAAATAAAAAGTATTATTATTTGAAGAATTCATGTCAAAGTTGTTCGCATTATTATAACTAATATGCCAATTTTACTATAATTAGAAAACTGTTTTAAGCATGATATTCAACTTACAGTAAGTTTTTAGTAATGATTTATATACCTAATTTTTCATTTAAGAAATAATTCTAATCCAAAAAAAATGCTATTTTTCCCAAAAAAAAGTAATTAAACATGTTCTCAATAAAAACACTTGAAATTTTTTTTAACTAAAATACATAATTGTGATATTTTGCATGACCAATAATATATTTAAATTTATATAATTAAGAGTATTTTTAATATTTTTAAAATATTAGATAACTACGATATATTACCATCTATTTCTATCTCATTACTAAATGCTTATTTAATTATTTCTTGAAAATTCATATTAATTTTAACCGCGAATATATGCATGTACCTAAAAAATTCTCATCCCCACTCAAGCCAAATTTATGTATAGGACCACTATGGCCTATTGATAAGTTATTATTAAGGGTAACAAATAGATATACTAGATAATTTTTTTTAGCGAATTATAATGATTCAACTAAAAATAATTTATTATTTTATTTAAATTTATTAAAATTTTATATAAAATTTCAATCTATCTAATTCATTTAAAGTAAAAAAGTTCATCCAATTTATCAATTAATTTTTCATGAATATAAATATTCAATTCATTCATAAAATAATATTTTTAAAATTAAATAAATTTTATTTTTAAAATATTTTATTTTCTCTCTTTTCTTTATGAGTAATTATATCTTTACATAACTTTTTAAAATTTACAATACTTTTTTATGTAAAAATAATCTTTTAAAATTTTAATCCAATAATATTTTATATTGTAATTTAATAATTTTTTAAAAAAAATATTAAATAAATCATTAACTAATCATAAAAATAAATAAATAAATAAATCAAATTTTTATTATAATAAATAAATCAAATAAATTTATTTATAAATAAATGAGATGATGATAAATAAATAAATTCGTTTTTTACCTCTAATTATCATTACAGGAGTTGATAAAGAAAACAGAAAATGTGACTAATGCTAGCTACAGAAGAAGAAGATTCGATAACAGAAGAATGTACAAGTACGAAGCACTGTACGGTGGTGCAATATATTTTATAGTAACATTAAAGTATGACAGTTTGTACTTTGTATTTAATAAAGGGACAGAACACACGCACGATAATTAGTATACATTTAAATTCTGATAAAGTACATCCGGTAAATAAAAACAAACAAACTTCTTCATCCATTTCTACTCTTTCATGTTTCAATAGATAAACTATATATTTAAAATGATCTTTGAGATTAGTGTATTTAAAGTTATTATTTTTATATCTTTATTTTATTTATTTTTTATTTTTAATGAGAAATTCAGTATTTTAATTTTTATTTACTCATTCTATTTTTATGTTTAGAAAAAACATTGTATGTTATGAACCTTCAGGGGAAATGATTAAAAAACATATCCCAGTGCCTAGTTCATGTTTCGAGCCATCGAAAAATAATTATCAAAGTTTGGTGGTTAAGTAATTTATTTCTTCAATTATTTTCGAATGATCCGCAAGAAAATCTACAATTACTTGTCCCTTTGTGGCTTTTAAAGGCTCGAAAGTTAATGAATATTCAGTTAACGCAAGTGCCCATTTTCCAATTTAAGAATGTAAGACAGGTTTACACAACATATACTTAATAACATTACTTCGACAAAATACTACAACATCACAAGGTCTAAGATAATACTTCAACTTTGTACAAGCAACATAAAGACTTAAACATAATTTCTCTAAAGGACTCTTTCTATTATCAGCTCCTACTAACATTCGACTTAAATAATATATGACTCTTTCGATGCCATTATCATCATCTTGCGCCAGCATGCCCACAACAGTCGAATCCCTAGCCGAAATGTACAACTTCAGTTGTTTTCCTTTAGAGGGTGGTGCAAGCACTGGAGGATGAACCAAATAAGCTTTGATTTCATCGAATGCTTTCTGGTGCTTTTCATCCCATCGAAATTCTTCCTCCTTTTTCAAGCGCAATAGAGGAGAAAACACTTTAGTTTTGCCAGATAAATTCGATATGAATCTTCTCAGAAAATTTACTTTACCTAAGAGAGATTGAAATTCTTTCTTGTTCGATGGAGGTCTAGTTTCCATGATAGCTTTAGTCTTGTTTCTATCCACTTCGATCCCCTTCTAGTGTATGACAAATCCCAGAAACTCTCATGCTGTAACACCAAAAGCACATTTTGGTGGATTCAGTTTTAGACCATGTTTCCTCATTCTCTCGAAAGATAATTTTAAATGGCATAAGTGCTCCTCTTTTCATTTTGACCCAACAATTATATCGTCAATATAAACTTGTACAAACTTACCAATTAAATCATGGAATATTAAATTCATCGCCCTCTGATAAGTAGCACCTGTGTTTTTCAGGCCAAATGGCATCATCACCCATTCATACACGCCTAAAGCACCTGGACATCGAAAAGCAGTTTTCGATACATCATTAGCTGCAATATAAATTTGGTTATATCCAGAATAACCATCAAGTAAACTCATAATTTCATTACCTGCAGCATCATCTATCATAGTGTCAGCAATAGGCATAGGATACTCATCCTTGGGGGTAGCTGTGTTGAGATCTCAAAAATCAATGCATACCCTGAGTTTTCCATTCTTTTTTATAACAGGCACGATATTCGATATCCACTCAGCATATCTTGCGGTTCTGATGAACTTAGCTTTCAATAACCTCTCGGTTTCTTTTTTTATCCTTTCGATTACTTTAGGAGCGAACCTTCGAGGGCTTTGCTTGACAAGTTTCTTTCCGGGAATCATGGGTAACCTATGTTCTACCAATCCTCGATCTAATCCCGACATTTCATCATAATCCCATGCAAAGCAGTCTTTATATTCATGCAATACTCGAATTAATTCCTCTTTCAGTTCTCCTTGCAAGAGTTTGCTAACGTAAGTAACCTTTCTATTTTCGACAGTTCCCAAATTAATTTCTTCGAGTGGGTCCTGAGATTCTAACTTATGTTCTTCATTGGTTTCCCTTTTGAATCCCAATGGCGAATCATCGAATATACAATCTAACTTAAGCTCTGACTCTTGCTCTTTATCTTCTTTCGAAGTCTCGACCTCTTGGGCCATTGTACCTTCTGTTTTTCGATTTTCTTCTTTCTTTTCGACCTTGCAGTCCATTCGATCTTTCTTTGTTTTTTGTTTTTCTTCGGCCAAAGTGGTCGTGCTACTTTCATCAACTTTAGATTCGTTCGACATTGCCTCCTTGTCTCGACATCCCTCGGCCATGTTGGCCGTTCGATCGGCCATGTAGGCCGACATTCGAGCTAAAAAGCTCGAATAAGGATCTTGATCCTTCATTCTTCTATTGGAGTCGATTCTTTCTCGGCTCGAATAACAAACCCTCTTTTCACGTCCCAACAAAATATTTTCCTGACACCTTCTTCATCCATGATACCAGCATTATGCGCATCGAAAGGTCATCTTTTGATGAACAGTCGAAGGAACAACTCCTACTCCATGAATCCACTCACGTCCCAGCAAGACATTGAAATTCGCCTTCGATGGAGTGACTATGAACATTGTAGTTCTTTTCACACTACCTATCTGTACATCAAGCAAAATCATGCCCTCGGGTTGTGATGACTTCCCTGCATAATCTAAGATAAGTATGTTGTGGGGCCTTAAATCAGCGGTGGTCTTTCCAAACCTTTTCAGCATAGTCTTCGAAAGTATGTTTATGGCTGCTCCTCCATCAACCAGAACCTTGTTTACCTCATGCCCTTCGATCATCAAGGTTAACAGCAAAGGCTTAAGATGAGCCTTCATCTCTTCTTTAGGAGAATCAAACACAGCTGAGTTAAACTTGGGAATAACCCTCAAAATTTGGTTGACCCATACAATCTTAGACTCATAGTTGGGATCATCGAAAAAATCTTCTCGATGGATATCTTCCTGCTCATTAACAGATTCCATGGCCCCAACATACTCAGAAGGCAGTATTAGAATGTAAGACAGGTTTACACAACATATACTTAATAACATTACTTCGACAAAATACTACAACATCACAAGGTCTAAGATAATACTTCAACTTTGTACAAGCAACATAAAGACTTAAACATAATTTCTCTAAAGGACTATATTTATTCTCAGCTCCTACTAACATTCGACTTAAGTAATAAATGACTCTTTCGATGCCATTATCTATTTCCGTCAGAAATTTCTGTCGAAAATCAGCATTTTTCTTGTAGTATAAACTTATCTAAATTAACATATATATATATATATATATATATATATATATATATTATAAATTATAGATAATAGATTTATATATGTTATAGATTATATCATTAGAGAATAATAAACTGAAACTATTCTCTGAAAGAATTAATTGTATATATAAAACTTAGAAGGATCAACTCATCAGTTCATAATTGAGTCATGTATTATTTTTTAATATAAATAGGAATCAAATTTGGTATAAAATGGTTTATAACACATTACTCGAGTAATTAAGCTAATTAAATTTCTTTAATAATTAAGTAATGCTTTTTTATTGTCATAATTACAATTGATAACTATGTAGATAACTATTTTGAGGTATACTTTTCTTGTGCAATTTTATGTCCATTGTTATTATTGTAATATTTGTAATCACTTTTTCAATTTTTTATGACCAACTTTCTGATTCTTTGACTATTTTTTTTTTTTTGTCAAACCGAGTTTGTGATTCGGAAAATGCTGCATCCTCCAAAAGATGATGCCGAAATTTCTTTCGAATTATTAAAAAATTAATTTAAATAATAAAATATTAAATTAAATAATTATTTTATAATAAATTTATTAAATAATAATAATATTTTAATAATTCGGACGATGAATCGGAATACGTTTCTGTAGCACTGCCCTTGTGATTCACTTGAACTATTCAGATTATCCGTTCACCGATTTTCCAGTCAGATCGACTGATCTGGTCCAATTTTCAAATTTTGGTATATAAAAAATGTATTTGTATCGTAATTCGTAGCCTAGTCAATAAGTTTACCTTGTATTTTCTTAACAGATTCTTACATTTTACTTTCACCTTGGATTTTATTATTTAGACTCAATTTCACCGAAAACAAAATTTCTCAATTTATGATCCAAAGATCCAAGTGGTTTTCTTCTACTAAAGACTGAATAATGTACTATTCGATCACTTTGGGATTTCCTTTTCTTTAGGGTGTGTCATGTCGTATGTAATGATTCAATACGTACACAAAAAATTATGGGAGGAATTCTTGTAACGCAGTTAATAGACTGGAACGGGACGTTCTAAATTTGGAATGGGTCTTTCTAAACTATTAAAATAAGGGTGATTTAGTAGTTCAGAATGGGCCGTTTCCAAACTGGAACGGACCATTCCAGACTACTAAATAGGCCTGTAAATCCTAGTTGAGAACGGGTCGTTCCAACTCCAGAACGAGCCTTCTGCATGTGAGTTGTACACATGATGAAAGAGAGTAGAACGACCATTCTGGATTTGAAACGGACTATTCTGGACACCCTAAAATTCTATAAATAGGCATCATGCATGTAGTTGAAGAGAAAGAAGGAGAACTTCGAGAGAGGTTTTAGAGAGAAGTTTAAGAGAGACGGACTCTAAGCTAGGAAGCTTGATTTTGAAAGACTGAAGTTCGGGAGTCGAGCTCGGAGGAAAGTTTTTCTTATTCCCAAATTCTTGGCTGTTCAGAGCCAATATTCAGGTAAGGGAAGCTAGATTGTAGATTTGTTGGTTGTATGTGAGTTGAGAACTCATTTGGGTGCGTAGGTTGATTGGTATTGTTTGGGTGTGTAAGTTGGCTGTAAGATATTATGTCTCATGTGGGAAATATGTGATATATAAAAGGGCTAATAAAAAAATAATTAAATAATTAAAGACTAAATCATAAATGGGTTTAATGGAGCATTTATGATAATAATTGTTATTTGATGGAAATAACAATCTTTAGGGATTATAAATATCCACTAATGTGAGACAAGGTCCACACCCCTGACAGAAAGTATTCTCTCAAACCCTAGCCATCACGAAAGACAGAGAGAGTAGAAAGAAAAGTTAAAGGGAGTGAAATCTTGATTCTCTTCAAGAAGATCAAAGCACTCTAAGGTTCAAAGGAGTTTTCTACTATGGAGAAAGGTACACACTTTCTTATTATTATGTGAGTATCATGAATTTCAAAGATCCTTTAATTTTCTATAATTGATGTATAAGAAAATAATAGAACTTACATGTGGTATCAGAGCATGGTTTTGAAATTGAATGATTCTCCGTGAATGATATGTGTTGTAAAATTGTATAATTCTCCATGAATGTTATATATATATATACATATATAACGACTTTGCAATGATCCAGAAGACATTATCAAATTAAGAAATTTCAAGTAATTTTTTCTCACCGGAAGTGAGAAAATTGTACAACAATGAAAAATAAAAGAATATTTTTCTCACCAGAAGTGAGATAATTGTGCAACAATGAAAATAAAAGGATATTTTCTCACCCGAAGTGAGATAATTGTAAGACAATGAAAATAAAAAAATATTTTCTTCACCTGAAGTGGGAAAATATTATGAAAAGTGAAAAGAAAAAGGATAGATAAATAAACGAACATTATATAAGTGTTATGTTTGATCCTTTGAGTACCAGAAGTGGAATAATTCTATCAAGGTCATTGTTGCAATATTATGTTTAATTTTCCGTTGCATGTTGTTTGTTTTGGATCATGAATGTAATTCTTAATTTTAAATTATGATCAATGTATTAAATTCCACATTACCGAAATCCTAGTGGTAATCGCGTAAGAATTATTTTCTTGAAAGTTTCATTTTTCTGAAATACCTAAATTTGTATATCAAATTGGAAAGAATTGATTTTTTTTAAAAAAATTTTTTTGGAATTAAGTGTACGATGAATTTGTTAGTCACCAAAGTGGCCAAATTTTATATTTATTTAATTCCACATTAATGATGATTTAATTCAATTACCCATAGAATAACATATGCTAAATAATAATTTTTGTTCATTATTATAAGACATTTATGTATCGCCCAAAGGTTGATTAGTTGTTCTCATAATCAATGAATATAATTGTGTGTGACTTATGTGTGCTTTTAGATTATTTATATATCCAAAGGTATTAGATAATTCTAATTGGTGCATGTTTAGTTGCAAAATAATGATTAAATTTATTAGCATCATTATGTTTGTATGTTGTATGTTGATGTATCACCCAAAGGAGAACATCAATATACTATTAATTGATGTTTGAATATATTATATGTGTAGCATGTATTTTGTGTCTCAAAACACTCATATGAAAATTTTTATTATGCAGTATCTGTTCCCAATTCACTAAATTCTCTTGTAGCGTCTGCTCCAATTTTTAATGGGCTTAATTTCTCTGACTGGAATGAGCAAGTCCAATTTCACCTCGGTGTTTTGGATCTAGACCTTGCTATATTGGAAGAGAAGCCTGCTACTATTACTGATTCTAGTAGTAATGAAGAAAAATCCTATTATAAAGCTTGGGAAAAGAGCCTAATGTTCATAAGAATGACTGTTGCTAACAGTATTAAGACAGCTCTACCCAAAACTGAAAGTGCTAAAGAATTTATGGATTTTGTGGGAGAGAGCTCTCAAACAGCTGATAAGTCTCTTGCTGGGACACTAA